TTAGGCGCCGTGTTTCCTGCCAGGTAAATGACGCTCCGCAACGTGGTGACGTCATTCGGGGCGACTGGAATCGATAAGGGAATCGTTTGCAAAAATGGCAAACAATTCCAAGGAATTGAAACAGTGGGAACCGGTTCTCAACAAGAACCGGTTTTCGATACCCATCCCTAATCAGGATACACGTTTTTGCTTTTCTGTGATTTCTTTTGCCAACATGATGACTGCTACCTGCTTAGTCCTGCAGAAACAAGTACAAAATTATCAGAGGCCCAAGATAAGGAAGAGTGGATGAAAAATAATGTGCCAAAGAGATCTCCAAAAATTTCCAAGGCGAGACTTATCAAAGGTCAGGACAGCTTCTGTTAACAATTTGTTTATTATAAACATTCATAAAAAATGGAGCCCATAGTCTAGAACAGGGGTGGGCAACTCCAGGCCTCAAGTGCCAGAGTCCTGCAGGTTTTAGATCTCACCCTGAGTCAACACACCTGAATCAAATGATTAGTTTATTACCAGGCCTCTGGAGAACTTCAAGACATGTTGAGGAGGTCATTTAGCAATTTGGATCAGCTGTGTTGGATCAAGGACACAACTAAAACCTGCTGGACACTGGCGCTCGAGGCCTGGAGTTGCCCACCCCTGGTCTAGAAAGTTTTCCAGAAGGTAATGACTTTTGGAAACCCCTCTTTGACATGAGAACAAAGACGAGCAAACTGGTCAGGAACTATCACAGCTGTCTTAGGGCAACAGGTAACCAGTCTGTTGTATGGCAGACAGACAACCATTTATACCTGTGGGCAATTTAGAATCGACAATGAACCTAACAGCACTAACTGCATGTCTTTGGGAGGAAGCCAGAGTACCCAGAGAAAAACATGGGAAGAACATGAAAACTCCACACAGAGAGAGCCTGGCTTGATTGTTGACTTGAACTCAACCGTGCTAATCAATGTGCCAAAATGCTGCCTGAAAAAATATGATTACATTGGCAAATTAATGGGAAGAAATGGAATATCAAACAAATATCAAACACAA